GCAAAATACTTTAAATTTTTTTTTTAAATAAACTGGTTACAAAAATAATGGCTTAATATGATGTCTACTTCAGGGTTAAGTTGAAGTATCAAGAAACTGAAATCCAGTACTGATATCTGTAATGTTCTGTACTGTCAGAATCCAGACGTAGGTTTACCATATGTCTTGCTAATTGCAGATCAATTCTGGCTGAAGTCTAAATTAGAATAAACAATTTAATAGAAGTGTGAATGTGACAGGCCACAGCCAGCTTTGCAGGATTCTATGGGTGATTTAGCAAACTAGATAATCAGCTGACTGAGCTTATGATCTTTCCTCAAGTCCAAATTACAATACAAATATTTCTTGTTCAGCAGCTATTCAAAGTTATGACATTGCTGAACAAGGCGGCTTTACATCAGTCCTTGTCGTTGTGGAAGTAGTTCATAGACACACTCCTTGCAATTATGTGATCTGTTCCTTGGCAACCAGCTTGCAATTATGTTATGGGATCCCGTGGTCACATGATCACCATTTCTGATCTTTAGTGCCGGCTTCTGACAAGCAAAATGAATGGGAAGCCAGGAAGTCACAAATGGCAATCATGTCATAAATATGAGCCAGTTGCCAAGCATCTGAATTTTGATTACGTGACTATGGGGATGCTGCAATGGTCACAAGTGTGAAAAACAGTCATAAGTTACCTTTTTCAGTTTCATTGTAACTTCAAACTGTTGTTAAGTCAAGGACTACCTGTATAAATGGCTAAAATGGTGCCATACTTAGTTTTATGTTTGGTTTATGTTTACTAACAGAACTTGATAATTTCATCTCTTTTGTAAGAAGTAATATGGAGTTTTTTGTTAATGCTTAGCTAATGTAGAAGAAAATTGACAGTAATTTTAATAACTGTCTTGTAGGGTAAGCTTTCTATAATTATTTTCATTTTGTCTAATGTAATAGAAAATCTGTGCTCACAAGAACAATAAGGCATACATTCAAATGGGTGGTATGTTCCATATATAGCATTTTTGTCCAAGGTTTCATCAATTATTTATGTAAGATTTGGATGATACAACAGGGAGTGTGCATATCAGTGCAATTCTTGAAAGGCAAATTGCAATCATGATGAACATACATAATGTCTTACATAAGCTGTCATGATGACATTTCTAGTTTTGTCATGAATATTTTGTATATATTTCATACATAAGATAATAGAAAAGCTTTTTAATTATACGATCTTATAACAATGGCAGAGCAGTTTGGTTGATAATTGTCCTGCTTCTGGTTCCAATTAAACACTCATTCAAATAGCTGCTATGAGAAATAGTAGTTTACTCAAGGCCAAAAAATGAGAGCAGATAAGGAATACAAGCCAAAACAGAATCTCTGAAATAAGTTTGCTTAAGTGGGTTTTCTTTAATGGCAGCATACAGAAGAGTAGTCCAAATCCAATCCAGAGATCCAAGATCCAGGTCAGAATTTCATGAGCAGAATCCACATACAAGTATCACACAAAAGCTAAAGGTTAGATAGATAGTTGCTTCTAAGGGATCATGAATCAGGGCTGCCTCTAATCAACAGATGGATTTTGTGCTTGGCAAGGAACTTCATAGAAATGTCTGTTTCATTTCCCTTTGCTTGCTGGGTTATGGGGGCTGGTAGATCTTATGTTGTCACCCTCATCTGACTTCTCCAGCTACTCAGATAGTGGCTTTGTTTGATTTGTCTCATATGATTGAGTTTGTTTCTCCTGAAGTCGACATTCCACAAGTCCTGTTGAAACAGCTTCTTCACATTCAGTCATTGTCTATTTCCTAGGTCATGACAATATAAATGGGGCTGCTATATGAGATTTCATCCCACCAATCCTTAATTCATTGCACTGGCTGACTGTGAGCTAAGGGCAAAAATTCAAAGCTTAAGTCTCAAAGACTTAAAATCTCCCATCAACATCACTGAACTTTTGGAATTAATTTCATCTGCTTAGACCCTACACAGAATTCTAACTATGGAGTCAACTCATAGTAGAGTTACTGCCATACCTGCTGTGTTCTCCCCACCTCCCCCACATTTGTGGAATTCTTTTTCTGGATAAGAATGGCTGCCTCTCATCCCATTTAGACCCATGCAGTAGCTAAGACGTGGTTATTCATCCAGATATATTTTGGATAAAATAACCCCAGCTGTTTTTTATAGGCTTTACATTTAAAGAAATAATGAGAATGTTTAAATATTCCCTTATGGTTATGATTAATCCACTTGTCAATGTGAAATTTATAAAGGTAATTCAAATGCTTCTTTGCAGCTTTGCAGCTGAAAAATCATGTACTTGCTAGCTAGTACCATTAACTTGATGAAATAATTTTCTCCTTCTCCTTTTTTGATAGAAAGCTATCTTACCCTGAAATAGAAGAGCTGTATTTAGATCAAGACCATTTACTGACTGTTAGCGTCTCTCCCACCTTTTATGCAGAAGCTTTTTCTGGAGAAACAAGGGATTGAATGTGGTCAGCTATGACATTTGAATGATCAAAGCCAAGCATCTAAAGAGTTCTTTCTTTTTCAGAGACAATAGGTTTTATGTATATCTTATTTCCTAACAAGTTTATATTATATTTACCCAGACTTCCTTGCATATTAAGATTTTAGAAGCAGTTCAGTTATTGGCTTCATTATTAACCCAAAGCATTATTTTGAATGTCCTAGACAGGTAAGACATGTAAATGCATAATTTTAAATATGTCAGAGATGCATATTATTTTGCTCCTAATGGAAACTATGGAAATATTATTGCTGTTTAAAAAGATTACCATGTTTGTCAGAATACAAATATGCATTATTATAATCGTGAATATTAAGTATATGCATTTCTATCCAAAAGATATTGTGAAATCATCAAAAGCATTAGAAGTGTGGCAAAGCAATAGCAAAGGCTTAACTATTAAGTTCACAAATCATTTCAGGTAGCTGTTATAGCTGTCCAGACTCAGCTAGAAACAGTTATAGCTGTGGACTGTTGTGATGGCAACAGAAGCATTTTGGAGAAGTGAGAAACTAATGGATACAAAGCCTGTGGTTATGATGACATGTGGATGAAGAAAATGTACAGAGTCTTGTTAGCAATCAGTAGCTTTATAATAGCTTGTTATCTGAGAGTAAGAATCCATAATCAGCACAAAGCAAAATCAGTAATTTTTCATGAACTGAATCAGTTTTAGAATTTTGATTTTATACTGCAGAAATATTTTTTAAAAGACACGAGGTCAAAGTACAGATAGTTTTTTGATATATGTTAAATACATCTTGACAAGTTTAGCAGGAATTGTCATCCTGTCTGTTCCTCAGCCTAGTTATCTTAAATATGCAATAATAGTGATGTACTTTTGCAGTATGCATATTTGTTTAGAACTTAATCCATTGCCTAAAAAGCTAACTACTGGAGGGCGTAGGAGGCAGAAGAGAAGCAAGTAGGAATCTCTAAAGTACACAATAAGCTACCACACATGTGGCAGTTTGCCTAGAACTGCCAACATCCTCCCTCAGTCTGAAAGAAATTGAAATATGATTGGTGACGATGGAAGACAAGTGAAATAAATATTTTATATCGTGAGCTGGTTCTTTTATAAGGAAGGGAATTGGTATTACATCACCACATATTCTCTTAACCATGCAATAATTTGCCACGTATACCAAAGGCCCATAATTATAAAGGCATCAAGTGATATATCTATGATCATCTTTTCAAGAGGAATCCACAAGCCCTGCAGGAAAATATATGAAGCAGTCTTTTAGTGAGTCAGATGGCTGGTCTAATTTCCTACCTGCAAAACATATGACTTTCTTATTGTGCTAAATCAGTGTAACATTTGGAAAACAAAAAGGTCAATGTTGGTTTTTTCTAACTGCATATAGTACATTATACATCTCTTCGATACAACTGGGAGGAAATGCTTGCAAAATAATTTGCTCATTTTCTATTTCAGAATTGTGTTAACTTTTCCTGCTGTTTATATAATGTAAATACAAGGTGTCTTATTACTCTACCACAACTGCATTTCTGGAAATTATTTTGAAGTGTTGTGTAGACTAATTTGTTCTACACATTTAATATAAATGGAGGGAAATTAAACTCACAAGCATTCAGAAGTCTTCCATCTTTTGATCCAAGCCATTTTCCCTGCATGGGTGTCCTTCATCTGGGTTGGGCTTAAAGTGCTCATAATTTCCAGGCACCAATTGCAATCAGAGTTGAAGTCCAACACAACTGAAGGGCTCACAGAGAGACCACAGTGCATTTTAAGTCTTTAATGGACATATTTTATTCTGAAGGTATTCCTCAAGAACAACAAGGAAAAGAATTTCAAAACGGAGGGGGGGGGCTTCAGTCAGCCTGGTTTCATGGTCAAATTGGGAGTGGAAGACAAGTTTAATTGGCTCAGACGGGAAAAAGTAGAATGTGTTATGTTCACAACGACCTGGAAGGACACAGTTGTTAAAAACCGACCAAAAGGGGATCCATCAATTTTTAGATCCCATCAACTTCTAGGAGCTGGCCCTATTTATGTAAGCGCCTCATGACCATGTGCTGTGCAACACAAGCGGAACTCCACCTTCCTCGCTTCCCCTCCCACTAAGCAGATTGGGAGGAAAAAAAAGTAAAAGGAAGAAAAAAACACTGGAGGAGCTTCCTTAAACCTAGTTTCCTCCTCTTCCTCCTCCTCCTCTCCCTCCCCCATCATTTCTCCTTCCTCCTCCCTCTTTATCCTCTTCCTCCTCCTCCTCCTGGCCAGAGCTTTTGTTTTTCTTCCCAAGCTATTTCCCACACGTGATTGCCGTGTTTTTGCGCCGAGCGCTCGGCCGGCCGAGTGCACCTATAAATGCTAATAACTTTGGCGAAGGAGAGAAGAAAGGCAGGAGCCAGAGGAGGGGAGGAAAGGAAGGGTAGAGGTGGGGGTGCATAACTCGGACGCTCTATCCATGCAGGCAGCCGGGGGGGAGGCGGGAGACATGCCATGCAAGCCAAAAGTCCCCTGCTTCGCGCGGCTGGCGCTCCCTCGCCTCGCCCCAGCTTGCTGCTAACCCTCAGCTCGCCGCCGGGGAGGTCGCGCCTGCCGCTCGAAGTCTCATTCTTGCCCGCTCCGAGGGAGGGACAGAGGGTAGGCGGGCGGGCGAGCGAGCGCCACAGACAATGGCGGCGGCAGCGGCGGCGGCTCCTCCTGCCGCCGCCGCCGCCACTACCACCACCACCAGCAGCCCCGGTGGTGCCAGCAGCGGCGACGGCAGTACATTCCACCAGCAGCTGGAGCCCTGCTTAAGGAAGCCGCCGCCGCCGCGTATGGACCCGCGGCGGAGGCAGGCTGCTCTCTCCTTCCTAACGAATATCTCGCTGGACGGGCGGCCGGTGTTGCAGGGCGAGGAGGGCGGCGAAGAGAGCGACGTCGGCGCGGGAGCCGCTGCAAGGACTGCTTCTGCTGCAGCCTGCGGTATCAGCAGCAGCAACAGCATTCGGACTCGTCGGGGCAACCTGAGCGCTTTCCAGCCGCCCGCCCCGCAGCAGTACGCAGTTTATGCCAGCGCCTGCGGTGGCAGCGGCAACAGCAGCAGCAGCGGCAACGTCAAGCTCATGAGCCCCCTGGGAGCGGCTGACCAGCCGCAGCAGGGCGAAGACGACGAGCCGGAGGAGGACGAGGACGAAGATGCCTTCGCTAGCGTGCAGGTGCCCATCGCCGCCGCCGCCGCTGCTGCCACCCTCCCGGGTTCCTCTGGGACCCCCTGTGCAAGGGGTCGCCTCAACTCTTTCACTCAGGGAATCCTGCCCGTCTCCTTCGCCAGAACCACCCCACAGAACTATTGCTCCCTTGAGCAAGGCCCGGTGGGCGCCAGCGCTTTTGAGCTGCAGAGGTCCAGGTAAGTGGCATCCAGAAGGGCCTCGAATGGGGTGTGGGTGTCTCCTTTTCTTCAAGAGGAAAAAAAAAACCGGAATAAAACAAACCAGGGTTTAAATTTTTACCTTGAAGCTCTTTTGATATCTAATATCTGAGATGTGTCTCACTCTGCACATGCCCAAGGGTATGCCTCTCTTTTAAGAATATTTAAGGTGTTCCTGGACTGGTAAGTGTTAAATTACATCAGGGGAGTGCTATAGTTAGCTCTCAAATTTTGACCAGTTATGTATTTATTACTGCAATTTATGTGCCACTTAATTCCAAAAAGGCTTTGAACAACCGCCATGAGAAATGTCAGGGTTTGAGGCGTCTCCAAATTGTTTCCATTTACTCTCCAACGTGTGTGCACAGGTATAGAGGAGTCAATTTTAACACAGTGGTGAGAAGAAAATATTTTCTTCATGTTCAGAAAAATTTATGTACTTTGAGGCTCTTAACATTTAGCAAAAGGGATTTGAGCTGAACAATGAAAATGTGGTGAAAAGGGGTCATGTGCCAATATCATGAAAGGGGAATTAGTTGTTATGAATTAACACTGTTGGCACTTAAGGTATTTTATTTTTCCACCAGTACATACGGTATCTGTAAGTTAAACCAGAAGTCTAATACACTATCCTTGTCCACAGGTGACTTGTTGCACCTTTCTGGGCTCAAGCTAAAATGGGTAGGGCTTGGTTAGTAGGTGGATGAAAGATTTAAGAAATCGCAAAACTAAAAGACAAACTAAGGAGTTAAAACACCTTAGAAAAATGCAATGGCAACCCCCTTCTGTATTGTAACCAAGAGGATTGCAGTCTCTGTTCATAAGTAAAATTAGTATGATGAATTTCATCAGTATGTTGAAGACAACTAACCAAATTTCGGCACTAGTCTTGAAATCAGGACTTATGTCATTTTCTTATTGTGAAAGTTTGGGGCACTAATTTCTAAACCTGCTTTTTTAGGCTAATGGAGAAGTCACTTTTTCCCAATTGCATTTCAACCTCTGAAATTACCACTCAGTACAGGTAATCCTGAACAGATGACCCCAATTGAACTCAAAATTTCTGTTACTAAACAAGGCAGTTAAGTGAGTTGTGCTCCATTTTACCACTTTTTTTTGCCACAGTTGTTTAGCGAATCACAGCAGTCGTTAAGCGAATCTGGGTTTCTCACATTGAGTTTGCTTGTTGGAAGCAGGTTGGGAAAGTTACAAATGGTGATCACATGACACCTCCAAACCCCCCCCCAAACAGTGCAACTGTCATAAATACATGTCAGTTACCCAGCGCCTGAATTTTGATCAAGTGACCATGAGGATGCTGCAAAGGTCATAAGTGAAAAACGGTCATAGCTCATTTTTTTCACTGCTGTTGTAACATTGATAGGTCACTAAACAAAAGTTTGTAAGTCAAAGACTACCTGTAACATTTAGAATAGCACTTAAATGTTATTAATGCTGAAACTACATATAGTAATCAAACCATCAATTAAATGTAAAGCTTTTTTCTTTGGATGCTACTTGTAAACTGTCATAATGGGTTTAGCAGATTACATGGGGGTCAGTAATTTTAATTTTTATTGGCATCATCACTTCATGAAATCATAGCGAAATTAATGAGAAGCAAATCCCTATTACCTTACTGAAGTTAAAACTGGTAGACTGCCAATTAAAATAACAGTCATATCTAATCTTTTGTATGTTTTCTGGGGAGTGTTGATCTTAATATCTGAAATCTTAATCCCTTCATTTATTTTCTGCTGTTATCATGCATTATTTATGAAGTGATGCATCACCCCATCACTTGCACTCTGTTGTTTTTCAGCATTGATCTTTATTTAATGGGAAGCTGCTACAGCCTATTTGTTTAAAGCAGTGCTTCTCAACCATGATGGCTGGGGAATTCTGGGAGTTGAAATCCACATATCTTAAAAGTTGCCACAGTTGAGAAGCACTGGTTTAAAGAATAAACATTCTATTTATCTTGGAAGTTAGACAGGGTTGGCCCCGATTGGCTTGGATTAAGGACCATTTGGGAATTCCAAGTCTGTTGGCTGGATGAGTGAATCAAGAAAAAAGCTTTGGAAGAAGACTGAGCAGACTTGGAAGTAGAAATGGAACAATGTGAAGAAACTTACACAAATGCCATCTCCAAGAGCTGAATTTAATTCAAAGCATCTTTATCTTACCAGTTTTAAAACATTAAAGAAAATCTTCTAAGCAGTGATCGGTGAATAAATAAGAGCAACAATCTGTAAATCTTTTCCCTTAACTGCTTTAAACTTGATTTAGATCTTAACAAGAATAATTGGCAGAAGACAAGCATTTGGTTGCTGCAGTTGAAACCTCAGATTTGTATCTGCCCCAGGATATTAAGTAGTTTAGTTGATCTGGTTAGGATAGAAAGTGTATGACAGAATCAAGATAGATGTTTATAAAGGTAAATGTGTATTTATTTGCTACAATGTGTGATTGCTTGGATAAGGATTTATATATTTATATTAGGTTTCTCTCCTTTTTTTGTCCCTGTGTGTCAGTGTTAATGTCTGGTGGCTGCCCAGGCAAATGACTACAATTTTCTTGGCAAGGTTTTTGGTTTGCCATTGCCTACCACTACACCAAAGTAGCTCTCTTGCTCCCATAGAAAAAACATAATTTACTGATGGGAAAATATATCCATGTAAATAATACTACTTCTAAAGAAAAAAATGTGGGTTTAAAAAGCAGGTTTAGAAATTATTGCCCCAAACTTTCACAATTGTGACCAGATTCTGGGGCAAGGTAGTTTTTATAATAAAATTATCAGTGATAGGCTGTAGGCTGCATGGCATGAGAAAAGTTTAATGAATGTATTGGTTAATGTAAAATAACTGATATCACAATAGTCTTCATATTTCTTTCAAGAATATAGCATTTACAACAAAACCCCTATGAGATGAAAGAGAAAGCATGTGATAGTCTTCACCCACCAAATCATGTTAATAGTAGCACAGAAGATTAATTTCCCTAGTCCAAATTTAACATTTATTTGGGATATCCTACTGTTTCCATATTACCAATTCTACCTTGTTTTGTTTTTCTTTACCAATTTGAAACATGCCTTTTGGAGCTTAAGGGCTTTAATTATCTCTTCCTTTTAAAAAACAAAATAGAGCTAAATTCATGCTCATACCAAATTAAAATAAGATCGAATAATTTTTGCTTCATTGTGTTTTGGAACCGAGCCATTGTTTTGGAAAACAGGATGTATACTAATCCACAATATGGTTTATTTGTTGGGTATAACATGCTCCGTCAAAACAACGATTGCATTTTCTTAATCTGGATTTAGCATGTTGTATAAACACAGCTAATAAGTCCTCCTAGATTTATTTTGTATATTTTTAATAATGCTCTGGCAGTCATTTGGCATTTAGTTTAAAGCCTTGAAAAGTATTTTCTTTATTACTTAGAAGATTTATATTCTCTCCTGGTATGAAATAATCCTCAAGGTTCACCAGAGATAGACCTTGTATCATTTATCTTGTACCTTTACCATTATACAATGGATGCAACTCACTGTTATGTGCCATATTTTCTCTGCTTCAAATATTTAATTTGAGTCTAATTTAAGTATGCTGTTACCTTATGCAGAGTGATATTACGTGACAAACCAATGTATGCTTTACCACTAGTTGTTTGCCAGAGGTAAAGCATTTCCACTGATGGGAAATTATGATCCAAAATATGTGAAAAGCACCAGATGAAAGGAAGCAGAATCATGGTGCATATCACTATAAAGCTCCTCCATCCATTCATCCTTTGCTACTTTGCATAAATCTCAGTATAAGTGTCTTTCAAATGTTTAATTGGTTGAATCCTATTTCTTCTACTGTTTTTTTCAGTTTTAACGGTATTATTTTGATTCTAATTAATTTTATGGAAATATACCATATAAATAAACAATTTTTGTCCTTTGAACTACATGACCAACTGAAATAGATGTCAGATGTTTTCCCCTCTGTAAAATATACTACATCAATTAAATGTGAAATATTAAAATTATTACTCCATTGATAGAATATAAAACTCATATATAAATGAGATGTTCTCCATCTCCGTTCTCCTGTGATTTGTCCATGAAGCTATGAAATGGCATTACATATTTTTCAACAAATGCCAAACCATATTTTAAAACTATTATTATTACTTTTTCTTTGCTAGTCTAGTCATTCTAAAGGGGAATTTATACGTTTCATATTCCACAGATTTGTCATCTCAATCCATCATTGAGTGGCAAGGAGTCAACATTGACTTGAAGGTGTATTCACACACAAAACCAAATTACTTTCATAGGAGTCTGCGACTATAGTATTATGTCATTGTCATTATATTCATTTTTTCTGGTAGCATCTATTTTACATCAAAATAGGTAGAGTTGTATGTTTTCACAAATTATCGGGCTTCAGGCCGGGATATAGCATGGAAATGGCATTGGTCGCATTGGTTGATGATTTCTGGAGGGCTCGGGACAGGGGTTGTTCCTCTGTCCTGGTCCTATTAGACCTCTCAGCGGCTTTTGATACCATCAACCATGGTATCATGCTGCGACGATTGGAGGGGTTGGGAATGGGGGGCACCATTTTGTGGTGGTTCTCCTCCTTCCTCTCTGACCGTATGCAGTTTGTGTTGGCAGGGGAACAGAGGTCGATCTCGAGGTGCCTTGTTTGTGAAGTGCCGCAAGGGTCAGTCCTCTCGCCCCTTCTGTTCAACATTTATGTGAAGCCACTGGGTGAGATCATCCGTGGTTTCAGGGTGAAGTTCCACCAGTACGCTGACGACACCCAGTTGTACATCTCCATCCCGGACCATCCAAATAATGCCCTTGAAGTGATGTCCAGGTGCCTGGAGGCCGTGCGGATCTGGATGGGGAGAAACAAGCTCAGACTCAACCCTTCCAAGACCGAGTGGCTGTGGTTCCTGGCATCCTGGTATAATCAGCT